TCAGTTCAATACCCAACTGTTTTGATGATGGTTCTGTTTAGTTCCATGGTCTCATCCCTTATTTTGGTTTATCCAACCCGCCCCCTTGTTTTCCTGTGTTTTCTTTTCCAGACTCTATCCTTCCAATCTTACTTTTTCTTCTGGGGATTAATGTTTTCTTATCTTTAGTACACAGGGCTCACGTAAGACTGAACTTCCTATGGCGCCCAGATATTGGCCAATGGCACATTCCATTTGCCTACTTGCAGGAACTAGATTGGAGATAGGACTGTGACCACGTGCGTCCAAACAACCAGACTTGAGGTCTATGTTGAACTACTGAGAATAAAAGCCTCTTTCTCTGCTTGAAAGAAAATGAAAAGTAAATGAGTCTGAACTCCAAGTTTGCTTGAGAACAAAGCCAGAACCGTGGTGGGGGAGGGACTTTGGCATCTGGAGCCAGTGAATTCCCTCCATGCCTCAAACCCTAAAGTTTTCTGTGTGAATAAATTTCATTTGGGGTTTTCTGTTCTCAAGCAGAAAGCATACACACTACTAAGCTTCTGCCTTTCTCTGAGGCCTGGGCATTAATAGCAAATAACCAGCACCATACATAGAAGCGCTTCCTAGTCCGCTAATCACCTTTGGAGGAACTCCCAGAGTCATTTGGTACAGCCAGGGCTCGAGTTACTGACACCCAAAGCAGTCTCTCCACATCTGCAACTCAACTAGCCCTTGCACGGCTGCGCCTGTCTTGTCACTTCTTGCCTTTTCCCTTTCCCTCTTGACCCGTCTTCCTGTCTGGGTGTGTTGCCAACAATGTGATGCAAGTTCTCAAATTCTTCACACTGTAGGGAACTTTTATAAGCATTCAGGCACATACTTAAGTGGAACAGGGCAGGTGCAGTTTCTGGCTCCTTGCCAGGCTGGCAAGACTGGCCAGCTCACGCTGGGGGCTATAGGGAACTCTTGAAGGGACTTTCCAATCTGACCTTCCCTGACTCCCGAGGATAGCTCCTCCGAATTGTTCCTCCTTGACTCGTGTTCCTGGCTTTCCTAACTCTCCTCCTAATGTAGCTTTACTTCTAGATTTTGGCTCCAAACAGGCTCCCCTGACCTTTCAGAGATGTTCTGAAAGTTGTGTAGTTGGGTGACTGTCTTGAGAACTCAGTGCATTGTTAAACACTTGGATGGTTTAGGTCAGTCACTCTAGGGGACACCTTGATGTATCTATGGAGTGTAGGAATAAGATATATGAAGCTGTTTGTTGGTGTAGCATGACATTTACTGGTTTATAGTAAATCTTTTCATATAAGGAGTGCACTTTAAAGTAATGACTAAAAAGTTTAGCACAGTGAACACACACCAGTAATATATGGTCATTTTACAAAATACTGTGCACTGCATGCTCTTTTTAATTACTTTCTTTCATTTGTATTTTATATGCATGTCTATGTGGTGTATGTGCACTTGTGTGTGCACGGATGCCAGAGAAAGGCATCTGTTATTCTGTCCCTTTCCACCTTGTTCTTCTCTAAGGCAAGGTCTCTTGCTGAACGTGGAGCTTCTGTTCTTTGGCCAGGTTGGAAGCCAGCAAGCCCCAGTGATCCTCTTGCCTTCGCTTTCTGCGGTTCTGGAGTAACAGGTGCCTAGAATATCATGCCTGGCTGTTACACGATGCTGGGATCCAACTGGCCCTGGTGCTTACCCAACAGGTGCTTAGCTGCTGAGCCACCTCTCCTGCCTCTGTGCTGTCCAGCATACGACGGGCAGCACCGTGGGCCCGATTGTCCTGCATTCGGCACAAATGAGTAAGTAATGCCCTGTGACAGCAGCTGAGATGGCTGTAATATCACTAGAGGATAATTTTTTCCTCCTTTATAATCTATGATGTCATCGACTGCATGGACTATGTAGTCCATGACTGTGTTGTAAAATAGAGTTGATTACTTCAGTGGAATCCAGGGTGTCCGAGTGTGTCCTGGTCAGCACGAGGGGAAAGGTGAAAGCTCTTCACCTTTTCTGCTGGGCGTCCAGCAAACCGCTAGAGCAATGGTTCTCAACCTGTGGGTCGAGACTCCTTCATAGGGTCGCACATCAGATATTAACATGGTGATTTCCAGCAGAAGAAAAATTACGGTTGTGACGTAGCAACAGAATAAGTTTGTGGTGGGGGGGTCACTACAACATGAGGCACTGTATTAAAGGGTACAGCATTAGGAAGGTTGAGAACCACCGCTCTACAGGGTGTCTATCCTGTCCTCTTCTCTGGGGAAACATCCTTGGTTTGAGATCACTTGCATATTGGCAAGGTTTAAAGACACTCCTCCTCACAAGACTGAGTGGCCACTTCTGGGTTAGGCTGAACAATATTGCTGCTCATGCAATGGAGCAGCGTCTGTCTGACAAGTTAGCCCCGTTCATCTGAGCAGTTTCTAGACCTGTGTAATGACTCATCGCAAAGCTGCACCCTCAGTCTGCAGCTGAGAAACATCCCAGGCAACTGGTTAACTTCCAGACAACTGGATGGTAGAATCCTGGTGGACCAAACAATAAAATCCATAGCTACTCAGAAAATAAATGAAGCATCCTTTATATGCAAGTCTCTGACTGGTGTATGGGAAGAAAACATCCATTTAAGTGAGGGATCATGGCTCATGCCTATAATCTAAGCACTTGGGAAAAGGGTTGCATGTTCGAGGTCAGCTTGGAAGATGCAGTAAATATGAGCACAGGGTGAGTTGTGTAATAAGACTTTTTTTTTTTAAAAAAAGGCTTAATTAAATAACAAGCTACATAATAAGACTTAAAAAAGAAGGCCTTATGTGACGAAACAATCCAACTTTGAACAGAATGAACAAGAGACCCAGACAGAAGATAATAAAAATTCAGAGGAAGGCTTTTCCAACTTAGAACAAAAAAAGCAATGACAAACCAAACCAAACCAAAACAACAACAAACCCAGAATGCCATGAAGGAAATAACAATGTTACAACCCCAGAAAAGATCCACACGTGAAGGACCTCTAAGGTGTAGCAAGGAAATGAAAAGAAAATCAGTGATGCTTAAGGCAGAAAGGAGGCGTGGCGGGGAGTGATTGAGATAAACAGGAAGTGAGGTCAGGTCATGCCTGGCCTTGGAGAGTCTGGATGTAATCTATGTGTCAAATGAAGCCACTGAAGTCAGAGAGCCACTGAAGTCAGAGAGCCACAGGCAACATTTGAAATCCTAAGGTCACAGTCACTTCTAAGAGTATGGCCGGGCAGTGGGTTGCGGAAGGAGTGGGGGGGGGAGATCACAGTACTTGTACTTGCAGTACCTCCACGCAGTTGGACGGTGATTCAGGTGAACTTACTAGAATCCGTTGTGGTTGGAATTTTCTTTGGGCCACCAACCAGCTCCCAGATAAAGACACAGAGACTTACTATTAATCACGAATACTCAGCCTTGGCTTAGGATTGTTCCTCTAGCCTTTTTTTTTTTTTTTTTTTTTTTTTTTAGGCTTGTTCCTCTAGCCTTTTTTTTTTTTTAAACATAATTCAGCCTGTTTCTATTCACCTATGTTTTGCCTCAGGGCGTTTTACCTTTCTTTCATTCTGTATGTCCCACTTTCCTGCTTCCTCTGTGTCTGGCTGGCTGGCTGGCTTCTGGTATCTCCTGGGCATCTCTTTTTCTTTCTCCTTTCTGTAACCTAAATTCTTCCTCCTACTTATGCTCCCTGCCTGGAAGTCCCGCCTATACCTCCTCCCTTGCTATTGGTCACTCAGCTTCTTATTAGACCAATCAGGTGCAGACAAGGTAAAACAGCAACACATCTTATTAAACAAATATTCTGCAATGTAAACAAATACAACATATCTTTGCATGATTACACAGATATCCGTGCAACAGTTCACGTGACAGGCAAGGAACAGAGAAAGCAAGCAGTACTCAGATTTCTTGCCTGAGAGGCTGGTCCGTGGTAGTACCATTAAGTGCATCTGAGAGGGAGAGGCTGTATTTGTTGGCATGCATGAGAATTTGTTCATTTGGAAATTAAGTTTCAGACATGTGTAAGGCAGTCATACGGGGTGTCCAGTGCAAAGCTGTAACCTGGAGAGGAGATCTAGACCTGAGGAAGGATCCATTTAAAATGAAGGCATTGGGGCTGGAGAGATGACTCAATGGTTAAAACACTTGCCTTGCAAACTACAGGAGCAGACTCTAGATTTCCAGAGCCACGTAAATTCCTGGTAGGCATGGCAGCCAGCCAGTAAGTTCAGCCTCAGAAGGCTGGGGCAGGAAATTTTAGATCAAGCTGGCTAACAAGACTAGTGCGGCAGGAAAACTGTGAGTTTGACTGAGAGACCCCACCTCACAGAACGAGGTAGAAGAATGATAAAGAAGGATCCCTGACACCAAGCTGAGGTTTCCCACATGTGCACACATGTGTGCATGCATCTGTACCTGAATATACGTATATGCACACCACACACAAAAAGAAGAAAAATAATAAGTCGATGGAATGAATGATGTTTTGAGGAAGGTGTGGGAGGGAAAGGAAGTCAGAGGCCCTTCCCCTTACCCTTACTTCCAAGTCCTTGTGTAAAAAGGTACTTCTCTGTTTCATTTTCTTTTTTTTAAATTGATATTTATTGAGCTCTACATTTTTCTCTGCTCCCCTCCGTGCCTCTCCCCTCCCTTCTTCAATCCTCCCCCAAGGTCCCCATGCTCCCAATTTACCCAGGAGATCTTGTCTTTTTCTACTTTCTACTTCCCATGTAGATTATATCTATGTAAGTCTCTCTTAGTGTCCACATTGTTGTCTAAGTTCTCTGGGATTGTGGTTTGTAGGCCGGCTTTCTTTATTTTCTGTTCCTTCTTCAAACAGGCCCTCAGCCAATGAGTCAGCTCCGCCTCATTTGCTTTAGAAGGCCGAGTTCCAGCAGGCGTGGTGGTGCACACCTTTAATACCAGCATTTGGGAGGCAGATCCAGGTGGGTTGCTGTGTATCTGAGGCTAACCTGGTCTACAGAGCAAGTTCCAGGACAGCTAGAGCTTTACAGCCAGACCTGTCTCAAAAAACAAAACCTAAAGCAAAAAACCAAATTAGCCAACCAAACAAACCCAAACCAAAATACAAAAACAAACAAACAAAAGCCAAACCAAACCAAACAAAAACAAAGAAAGAAAGAGAGAGAGAGAGAGAGAGAGAGAGAGAGAAAGAAAGAAAACTGGGTTCTTACCACTCCATCTTCTTTCTGATGGTCGTTCCTTCCCCCACCTAAGGTCATCAAATTACCTGTAAAATAAAAGGAAGGAACAAACTTGAAACATTGCCCCCAAACAAGTACCTGAACTAGCACGACAAAAGTATGAACACCAGAAAGACTACCCCTCTGGCCACGTCTTGGGGATTAGCTGTCTTTGTCTTTCCGACTAGTAGGCTTTGTGTTGAATCATGCTTGAGTCTGCGCTGCTGAGTCTTGGTAGTCAGAGTGTGGCACAGTCCACGGAAGGCAGAAACAAGAGAACTGCCTTATCTGAGTCAGCCTCAGTGACTACTTGGACAAGGGAGTGCTCTGTTGAAACTGGGTTGTGAGGCGCAGCGCACCTTCAAACATCAGACGGCATTTGGTGTGGTGCTTAAGACTTCAAGACTCTGTCTGCTTTTCTTTATGGTTAGTGGTTGGGCTTTAGCAGTGTTTAGGTATCTTAGGTCTCTCGCAGTATTTCCTGGTCTGGTAGACTCCACCTCACACCTTCTCCCACCCGTAGCCCCCAGACTGTAGGGGAATATTATTTCAAGGCGTGTCACTTTTGTTTATGCTGCATTTGTTTAACTCTGGGAAACTCTGTGGCTTCGCCAGTCTAAAACACCTGATGGTCTGATAAAGGGCCGAAAGGCCAATAGTGAGGCAGTAGAACGGCGAGGTGAGGCTGGTAGACAGAGAGAATACAGAGGAGGGAAAATCTGGGGGGAGAGAAGGAAGAGCAAGAACAAGTAGAGGACGATGCGAGGGACCAGCCACACAGGTAGCCATGGAGTAAGGAGGAAAGTATGGCATAAAGAAGTAAGAAAAGGAAAAAGTCCAGAGGCAAAAGGTAGTTGGGATCATTTAAGTTAAGAAAAGCTGGCTAGCAACAAGTCAAGATTAGGCCAGGCATTTATAATTATGAATTAGCCTCCGTGTGTGATATTATTTGGGAGCTGGGGGTGGGCACCCCCAAAAGAGTGAAGAGTAAAACAACCAACAACACCAGACTAAGCCAGGATCTAGTTGCTGCTACTGAGAGGAATGAACAGGAAATGCCTTCATCATGGCTGTAGGTTACCCACAACACTGAGGTCCCCTTGCAGTGCTGTTCAGCGTCTACTGAGGTTTCATTTGCCCCGCCCCTTTCCTTCCGGTGCAGCCCGAGGCCCCTTTTCAAGCCTCTTTCCATGCTAAGCTCCTTTTGCTTTTTCACCCGTGGGAAATCATGATGATTTCCTATCATGGGACGCTATGTCGCTTGAAAAGTGGTCTGATCCACAGCTTTGCCCGTGGGGTTTTGCATCCAATGCCCTGGTTTGGTCTTCCACTCTTCTGGCTCCCTATGAGATAGCAGACCCACAGTGAAGCACAAACCATAGCGTCACTGTGTGCTCGCCCTGCCCGGGGTTACCGGCTGCCTGTATGCTGGGCTCCACCCACACAGCTCCGCTGCTGCCCTGTGATGGGTTTATGCAAACAACGCCTCTTGTGGCACGATTGTTTTAAGTGCTCAGTTGATGCTGTTGTACCTCCTTATTTATGTATTTTGTGACATTTTGGCTGGGTCTTGGGTATCTGTGGTTCAACATTACTTCCTCTCCCAAAAGTTAGATATGATCATGGGACTTGGTTTAGGCAAAGACACATGAACAGCAGTGACATCCTTACCTCTGAGTGGAGACTTGAACCATCGTAAGCTTGGCCATACTTTCTTCTTTCTTCCAAGGCTAGAAGTGCAATACAAGTCCCGTATGAAATCTAAAAACATTTCAGTAGTTAAACTTCCGAAGAAAAAGACAAAATTAGGGGCTGGAGAGACGGCTCAGTGATTAAGAGCACTTAAGTGATTAAGGTCCTGAGTTCAATTCCCGGCAACCACATGGTGGCTCACAACCATCTGCAATGAGGTCTGGTACCCTCTTCTGGCCTGGAGACAGAATATTGTATACATAATAAGTAAATAAATAAATATTAAAAAAGAATCTTATAAAAAAGACAAAATTAATTTTAACAATGTGGTTCATTTAACCCAATTAAGCAAAAAAATCATTAGTTAATGCTATTCAATACATTTCACCTTTTTGTGTTAAATATGAAATTTAATGTATCTTTCAAAGTTATTTCTCTAGCCAGAAAAGCCACATTTCAATAGGTGTATATGACCAATGACTACAGTTGTCTCTGGTATCTGTTGACCATTAATTCCAGAGAAGCCAGCAAATAAAACGTGAAGATGTCCAAGTGCTTTATGTAACTGTGGCATCGTGTTTACATGCAGCATATGCCAAACCCCCTCTCAGATATTTAATCATCTCCAGATGACTTTATAATATCCAACACACTTAAATTTAGGGCAAGTAGTTTTTATACCACATGCTGCATTTAAAAAATTTCTTTTGAGACAAGATCGTAAGTAGCAATGATTGACCTAAAATTCAGAATCCCGGCCTCAGTCTCTTGAGTACTGGGAGTACAGGCTTGCATCCCTGTGCCCACATCTTTTCTTGTAGTTTGTTTTGGCTTACAAAATCTTTTTAAGCCAGGTGTGGTGCTGCACGCCTTTAATCCCAGCACTTGGGAGACAGAGGCAGGCAGCTCTCTGAGTTCAAGTTCAACTTGATTTGCATAATGAGTTTCAGGACAGCCAGGGATGTGTAGAGCGACTGTCTAAACAGAAAAGCAAAGAAAAGAATTGTCGCACTTTCCCAGATTTTAGTGGAGAGAGAATGTGAAGGCATGCAGAGAAACCGCTAGGGTAGCTGAGAGACGGTAGAGATACTGGCAGCGGGAAAGACAAGCTGTGGATCAGAAATTAGATCTCTTCGGAAGTATTTGAGTCATATACTTTGGAGTCCCATTTAGCCACCTTGGCTACTACTAGGTTTCCCCTCGCTTTATCACTCCCTTCAGACTCCATTCCCAGTGGGGCCGTACCATTAGATGAATTACACTAAGACTACCAGACCTAGCGTGGGTCAACAGCAGGCCTAGCGTGTCTACCTCCCACCGTCAACCAGACCTGATCTTCATAATCATTGGTGGGCCACGCTCGCTTCATTGAAAACTTTCAAGGGCTCTTCATTCCTGATGAGGTAAAATCAAGCTCCTGAAATATGGTATTGCGAGGTCCTTCATGTTCTGATTGCCGTTTTGTTAACAGAATCATTTCTTGTCCCTCGGATTTTATCCTTCTGGAGAAATAAAGTATGTTGAATTTCTTGCTTGCAGTGTGATTTGTCCATGCTTCCTTAGCTCACTCTCTTCCTGACTTTTCACGTTAAGTTTATGCAGCACTATTTTGTTGTGTTGAGAGCTAGGTAGGTGATTAGTGTTTCTACCTCTTTAGGTCTTCTTTTTTAAATTTTTTGAAAAATTTCGTGTACTTACATTATTGCCTCCTTCTTTCTCCTCTCACCTTCTCTTCCCATATTTCCCCAACTCCCTCTCAAATTATGGCCTCTTTTTCTTTAATTTTTACACACACACACACACACACACACACACACACACTCACACACTCACATACACACACACTCTCACACACACTCACACGCATGCATGTGTGAGTGAAACCTGTTGTGTCCATCTAGTGTCATTTTGTATGTATATGCTTCAAATTTTATTTTTATATTTTTAATCACAAGTAGGTGCTTATTTACACACGGGTGCAGATTCTTGCAGAAGTCAGATGTGTTTGATCCTCTGAAGCTGGAGTCACATATGGTTGTGAGCTGCCTAACATGGATGCTGACAACCTAACTTGGGTCCTTTGCAAAAGCAATATGTGCTCTTAACCTTGAGCCACCTCTCCAGACCCTTGTATACATGTTTTTAAAGCTGATCACTTGGTATTTAATGACCAATTAAGGACTTCTCCCCTGGATTCCTCCTCTCCCAGCAGCCATAAACTGTATTTCTTCATCTGTGGGTGGGATTTTGTGAGTTCCGCCAGCCACATTGACATGTCAACTGATGTCAATTGCTCATGTCTTATGCGAGCACCCATACTGTTGAGCTTTCATAGATGAAGCTTCCTTGGTTCTTACCTTTCCATTCCATCTTCTGTGATGTTCCTTTAGGAACTATGCTGCAGATTTGTCAGTTTGGGCTGACACCTCAGGATCAGTTGTTCTCTGCGTTGTGGTTAAGGTGTAGCCTTCTACAGTGGTCTCTATCTACTGCAAAAAGAGGCAGGCTTCTTTGATAAGGGACAAGAGCTGCTTTTATCTGCATTTATTTTACCTGGTTATCTACATTCACAAGTATGTAAAATGTAGTTGAAAATATATTGCTCTACAGAAGTGGCAGTAGTAGTTTCTCTTCTAGGTTCCATTGTTGTAGAATAATCTTTTTCTACACTGTGAAGATGTGTTGCTCTCATTGGTTTAATAAAGAGTTAAGTGGCTAGGGGCTAGGCAGGAGGAGGTTTAGGCAGGAGAGCCAGACAGAGAGAACTCTGAGAAGAAGGGTGGAGTTGCCAGCCAGATGGAGAGGGAACAAGACATACAAGACAAGAGATAAATGCCACAAGTCATGTGACAGCAAGAAGATGGATAAAAATGAGTAAATTTATGCGGTAAGAGCTAGTTAGTAATAAGCCTAAGCTATCAGTTGAGCTTTTATAACTAATAAGAAATCTCCGTGTGGTTATTTGGAAGCTGGCCACTGGGACAGAAAAGTCTACCTACATTCCATGGTCTCACCAGCCATGGGTATTTGGCTAGAATTTTAGTACCAGTCATGAATTCCCTACTGTTATATTGAGTGTGCCTTAAGTAAGTTAGATGGCTGTTGGTTACCACCAAAATTTAAGTACCACTACAGCAGCTTAGGTGGGTATCTTGCTTTTCTGGCTATTAGCAAGGTTTGTAAGATTTCCAATTGGGTAAAACTACCAATTGCTCCCACCCCCCACATTGGCAATTTGTATATCACCTCCAGTACTCTGAGAGCCTGTCCTTGGGGAAGAGGATTCCAGGTCCAACCCAGCTGGATTCCTCCAAGTCCTGTGTTCAAACACGTGATGTCTTCAGCAATAGGGACTTACCTTCAAATTCTAGGAGGCAACCCTGGGCAACGACAGTGGCCTATATTATTTAGAGAATCTCTTGGTCTCCCTTGACTAACAACTATAAAGGAGGTTTCTCATGCCTGGTACTGGGGGTTTTGTTATATAGTCTATGGCTCTTGGCATAACATCATAAAAAAATAAACATTTACATGTATATAAGTACACTTATGTATGTCATATATAATTTTAGGTAATCATAAAATAATATGATTCTTTATGACTTCCCTAAACATCTCTAGTTGTTTGTCCCTTCCCAGTGGTTAAAGCCTCCCCATTTTCTCCATTTTCCTCATTTCCCCTGTATGGCACCTGTATCCAGCTATTCCCTTTTCTAGAGCTTCCCTGACAGGGTCCTCTTTTACTTTCCTTGTTTCTATAGTTACTACAGGTTATATATTAATACCTAAAGATTTGAAGTTCGAAGAATACACGGTATTTGTTTTTCAGGGTCTTTATTACCTCTCTGAATATATTTTCTGGATCCATCCATTTACCTGAAAATTTCATGATTTCATTTCTCTTTAGCGATGTTTTATTTCATTGTTTGTATGTATATGAAAATGTGATATATATGTATATGAAAATATATTCACACACACATATATTATATATCATTTACCCACTGAAGGACTGTTTCCATATCCTAGTTATTGTGAATAGAGCAATACTGAACCCTGCTGAGCAAGTACCTATGGAGTTGGATGCGGAGCCTTTGTGTGTGTGTGTGTGTGTGTGTGTGTGTGTATGTGCACTTGTGGGTATGTGCACATGAGTGCAGTGCCTGCAGAAACCAGAGGTGTCAGATGCCCTGGAGTTGGAGATACAGGTGGTTGTGAATCACATGTTGTGGGGGCTTGAAACTGAACTTGGGTCCCTTAGAAGAGCATCAGGTGTTCTTCACCACTGAGCCATCACTCCAGCCCTTTTTGTTACTTCTTTTGAGAACTCTCTGATCATATCGATAGCCCATTTTTAATGAGGTCATTTGTTTTCCAA